AGTTTTGGAGAACATATTTCTAATAATTACCAAAAATGGGCTTGTAGTTTTCCCAGTTTAAGGGGTAATAATACTTTGATTATTCCCATTCCTAAACCAGGAGCCGACCTTGATTTTAAAAATATTAGCCAGTTCACCAACAATGCCCCTGAGGAACAGCAACAAGCACTTTGGCAAGAAGTAGCCGAAAAATTAACCGAGGAATTGGCAGAAAGTAATGCCCCTCGCTGGTTAAATACCGAAGGAACAGGTGTTCCTTATCTACATGTGCGACTTGATAAAAAAAATGGATTTTATTCGAATTATCCGGAATATGCTAAGTGAGAGTAAAAACATTTCTGCCGCTTTATAACCCCCTTCCTATTTTAACCAGAAAAATGTAAATATAATATATAACAATTAACCATTATTTTTCAGTTTCCCACCGAGAAATCTGAGATAAGGCCTTGTGTCGAGAGGTCAAGTGCCCTTACCTATCTGCCTACTATAACAATTATTATGACTAGAACATTAAGTATTGCCATTAAAGAAAATACCTACCAAGAATTAAAACAGAAAGTCGGACTAGGGAAAATTAGTTCTTTTGTCAATCAAGCAGTGGAAAAAGAATTGTTTGAATTAGCCCAGGAAGAAAAAAGAGGAAAAGAACAACTAAGGCAGCAACTCATTAAAGACTACCAAGCCCAAGCCAAAAACAAAAAACTCCAAAAGGAATTAAAAGCCATGGAAGAAACTCAATTTGAAGACTTAAATAATGAGCAAAAAATTAGACAAAAGCAGTAAAGCAAAAAAAATCCCTAAACGAGGAGAAATCTGATTAATAAAATGTGATAAAATTAAGGAATTTTCCAAAGATTACCGTCCTGGTTTAGTAGTCAGCAATGACTTCCAAAATGAGTATGGGGACTATGCGGTGTAGCCATGATGACGACCGATGACTTAGAAAATGTTAAGTTGTTCGAAGTTTTTATCCAAAACACCCCGGAAACGGGTCTAGACGAACCAAGTAAAATAGTTCTTAATCACCCTTTTACTGTTTTTAGAGAATTACGACTAGAAAAGCGGTTAGGAGTAGTCAGTAGGGAGGTCATGGAGAAAGTAAAAGTAGCCTGAAAGATTGCTTTTGATAGTGAAAATTGGTAAATCTAAATCCTTTTTCTAACATTCAACCAACTCTTTTTTTGTTTCGTTTTGATAAACTACTCGGCAACTTTTTAACTAGTAAATAAAAATAATTTAATATTATGGCAGTTAGAACAATTAAATTAAAAAAACTGAACATTAACCCCTTTTCCCTAGTAAGGTTTTTTTACTAAAAACTAGAAGCAAGAGCCACCGAACAACCTTTTACTCAACCTCTTGTTTACCTCACCTACTCCGAAATATTGAAAGTTAAATATTCCTATTAGTTATAAGATAAGGAATTAAATTTCCGCTTTTGGAAATGAAC